GATCAATCTCATTCTTTTTAGTGGTCACACAGAATTTCATCACATATTATGTCAGTCCCCTATTGATGCCAATTGAAATTACTTTTAAACTTGTACTATTATAAACAACTTTATGATCATCTGGAGTATATATTTCTATAAATAATTCCCTTAGATACATTTTCAGAAGTTAAATTACTGAGACAAATCTATACACATTTTAAAGTTTGATTTTTATCGGGGAAAAAAACCCAAAAAACAAAAACATCTCCACTAGGCTATGCCAAATTATAAGAATAATTGGAAATGCTGATTTCTCCTCACCCTCTTCATTGCTGTTTTTCTAATTGTTGTTCTTTATAAGTAATCCGTCTTTTCTTTAATAATTTAAGATTATCTTTGCCTTTGTTCATTATGGATTTGGTTCATTATGATGAGTCTGGTGTGAAACTATATATCTGCTCTTTATTTTTACTATTAGGACTTGGTGGGCTTCTCATACTTGAAGACTTAAATTTTCCATCAGTTTGGGCAAGTTCTCAGTCCTTATATTTCTGAGTATAACTTCTCTTATATTTCTCCATTCTCTCTTTCTATAATTTATATCCTTAATTATTTCTCAAATTTCAGCTTCATCTTTCCCAATTTCTCTTCACTGAATTCTAAATTCTGAAGAACTGATTTCTGATGTGTGAATTATCTATTTCTCTCTCATGTATCACTAGTCATCCATTGACTTTTAATTTCAATCATTATATTTTTCACTTGTTAAAATTAGTTTTAATTCTTTATCAGAACTGCCTTTCTTCTTCCTAATGTATTTTTCTCTTTTTTCTTCCTCCTTTTGTGTCTTTCATTAGTTTAAACATATTTATTTTAGAGTATCTATTATATTGTGCTGTTTACTGAATTTCTTGGAGTTTAATCCCTTTGCACATTGTGTGAGCTAATTCTCATGCAAGGAATGTTGTTTCCTGTGGGTGCTATAATTTTGCATTGTGAACTTATCCTCAGTGTGGCTTTATCTGTGAAAATCCTGTGTAACCTGTGTAAAGTGTTTCTTTTTTGAGCTTTTTTGTTGTTATACTTTTGACCTGTAACTTTTTTTTTCTTTTTTAATTGAAGTATAGCTGATTTACAATATTGTGTTAGTTTCAGGTATACAGCAAGGTGATTTATTTATATTTTTTATGATTATATTCCATTGTAGGTTATTACATGATATTGAATGTAATTCCCTATGCTATTCAGTAAATCCTTGTTGCTTTTCTATTTATGTATTGTAGTTTGTATCTGTTAATCCAATACTCCTAATTTGTCCCTCCACCTTCCCTTTTCCCTTTGGTAACCATAAGTTTGTTTTCTGTGTTTGTGAGTCTGTTTCATTTTGTATGTAGGTTCATTTGTATTACTTTTTAGATTCTACATCTAAGTGATATCACACAGTATTTGTCTTCCTCTGTCTGACTTATTTCACTAAGTATAATGTTCTCTAGGTCCATGCATGTTGCTGAAAATCACAATATTTCATTCTTTTTTATAGCCAAGTAATATTCCATTGTGTGTGTGTGTGTGTGTGTGTGTGTGTGTGTGTGTGTGTGTATCTCACATCTTCTTAAGCTAATTGTCTATTGATGGGCACTTGGGTTGTTTCCATACTTGGCTGCTGTAAATAGTGCTGCTATGAATGTTGGGGATGCATGGTATCTTTTTGAATTAGGGTTTTCATTTTTTTCCAGATACTTACTCGGATATCCAGTGGGATTGCTGGATCTATGGGTGCTCTATTTTTAGCTTTTAAAGAAATCCCCTTACTGGTCTCCATAGTGGCTGCACCAATTTGCATTCCCACCAATCGTGTCCGAGGGTTCCAGTTTCTCCACATCCTCTCCAGCATTTATTATTTGTAGACTTGTTGATAATAGACATTCTGACTAGTGTGAGGTGATACCTCATTATGGTTTTGATTTGCATTTCTCTATTAATTAGCAATATTAAGAGTCTTTTTATATGCGTGTTGACTATCTCTATGTCTTCTTTAGAAGACCTGGGGCTAATTTTTATGTTAATTTCTCCAGCTGAGGGTTCCCAGATTGGCAGTATGAATTCAAAAATCAAATCTATTGGAGATAGAGTCCTGAGTGTTGGATATTCGTGCATAAGAAGACTTGGTTTTTCTTCTTATGAAAAGACAGACAGGTCTCTGTGTTGTCTTTCTATGCCAACAGATAGAATTTTTCTGGCCCATCTTTTCACTTCTGTGGTTCTCAGCTTTATGTAAGGGTGTTGATGCTAACTTGCACTTCACAGGGGCCCAGGACTTTGTCTTCTGTCCCTTTAAGAGACTTAAAACCAATCTTGTACATCATAGAAATAGGCACCTCTCTTTCCCTGCAGGACAGTGTACAACCAGCTCGTGATCTTATTGCTCTGCTTTTCCAATTTCTAGTCACTTTTGATTCCAGAATATTTGCATTTATCCTTATGAGTTTGTTTTATGACTAACCAAGCTTTCTGGTAGTAGGAAGATTTTCATATTATCTTGCCTGTCCTATGGCTGAAGGTCTAAGCGTTTAACCCTAGGTTTGTGTACTTAGTGCATAAAGATTCCATGAGTCATGGTTTTTACCATTTTCTTACACTATTCTCAAATCCTTTGCCCTATTTTCCTTCGTCACAAAACTCCAATGCCTATACCTTGCCTTTGGATTTGGCTCTCTACTTTTTCTAGCTTACACTGCTGGAGACAGTATAAGAAACCCTGGGGAAACACCTGCAATTAAATAAATGAACGTTCTTCTGTCTTCCCAGTTCTGTTCTCCGCTAAAACCTGAATGTTGCCCAGCAAGCCTAGTTGCCCAGTGAGTCATCTCCCCTATTCAGCTATTTTAAACCCTTTCCACTCTCCTCATCCCTCTGCCCCCCTTTACAGAAGTATTTTCAGAAGATAACCTTACTTCCTACTTCCTAGAGGAAACAGAGACCATCTGAACAGAGCTTTCTCAAATGCCAGCCAGCAAACTTGTGAACTCACTTACCCTAGAATACGCCCCTTTTCTCCTTCCTTCCTGTTACAAGGAAGGAAGTTTCCTCTTCCTGAATAAGTACAGTAATCATATAATTTACCGCCGAAGCCTGGATATTTTTGAAAGTAAAAGAAGGAATCTGTTAATAATGATTCCAGGACAACAGGTGTAAAGCAGAATTGTCCTGGGCAATCTGAGACACGTGGTCACCCCGTGTATAAAGCTGATGGCTGAGTACCTCTCTTTCGCCTTCTCAAGCATCACAGTCCCTTGAATATTCTCCCCTCCCCTGTACATTCACATTTTCCTTCTGTCCGGCTTCCTTCTCATTAATGTTTTTAATGTAAACTTTTTTTTAAACATTTAATCTTTTAAAAAGAGAAATCTTGCAAAACGACACTACCTACGGGCCTCCAACTACTGCTCACTTTTTGGACTCATCTTTTTTCTTTGCCAGATTTATGGAAAAAATTGTCTCCACCCATGTCTCTCTTTTTCCCTGCTCCCATTCTCCATCATTCACAGAATTCTGGCTTCTTTCCCCATCTCCGTTCTGACACTACGCTTGACGGTGTGACACATAATTCTCTTGTTCTTTAATGGAACAGACAGTGCTACTCCATTTCTTACGTGCCTCTATCTGTGCAGCCTTGAGTGAGTTACTGATCCTTTCTGTTCCTCCGCTTTCTAGAATTGTGCAGTGAAAGGACCTTCCTCACTGGCTGTTAGTGAAAATTAAATGAAATAATCCATGTGAAGCATTTAGCATTTTAAAATGTTAGCCATCTCATCGCTCATCCTTTTGGAAAGACCTCCCTGTTTGGCCATGCTTGAGTTAGATGATTTCCATCAGCGATTTTGCACGTCACTGTTTGAACTTTTTAAGACAAGACAGAAGGGGAGAATATCTTTACATGCTTAACCTCATCAGAAGCTCACGATGGCAGACAAAGCCCGCCTTTCCCTGACATACCTATTTGCTGTAAGTGTAGCCCAGCATCAGGCAGCACTTACAGGGCTCGCATTCTGATTTGCTCCAATTAATCTGCAGGCTTAACGACACAATACATAACAAACGCTCGTCTGTCCCACCTGACCGTAGCCCAGCTTCATCTTCAGCCCTCACCATTGCCAAGACAGCAGGCATTTGCTGGGAAGGCACACTGGGATCTTTCCAGTGACTTCTTAGTTGCTTTTTTTTTTTTTTCACCTGCTCTGAGTCATTGGTTGAACTGGCCCTTCCTTTAAATAGGTCATGTCTGCATTCTCTCTGGTGGAAATGCCTCAACTATTTTCTTTAAGTGGAAGCCAACCTTTCAGAGCTTCAAGAGCCAAAACAGATTTGCTGCAATATTTATGTTCTAACACAAATTATTATAGTAAATGCTGGTTGTGTACCAGCCACTGTGCTAAGCAGGTCACATATTTTCACGTCTACTGACTACTTTAGACGGGACTAAAATGGAGTGGAAATAGACATGGGTGCCACAATGAGCATCTTACCTACTGCTAGAGTAACTTTAAGCTTTGATATTATGAGCTCTCAGTACCAGCATGTTTAATAAAATCTCTAGCATCTATTAATTGATAGAACAATGAACATGACCGTTTAAATGTTAGGAAGAGAGCAGACAGTATTCAGTTTTCCTGATCGGCATGATACAATACTAAATGGCAAGGCAAGACCCCAGTTAATTGATCTGTGTTCATTTTCTCTAGGCCAAACTAAAGCACATTGTTTCAAAATCTGTGAAGACAGTAA